TATGTAACTGACCATGGTGGTCAGTTACGGCACACAAGCTATACTTTGTGTCAGTTTGCAGGTCCTTCAAGGTAAACTCTTTCAGGTCAATAGTCTGGTCATAAGACACTTTGCAGGTATTTTTGATATAGTTATTATTATCAGTTCCAGAAAACCTGCAGCAAAAGAAATAATAATTAAGCAGGACAGTCCTCTTTTAAATCACCTGTAATCAAAATTTAGCATCTTTTACCTGACTAAATGCACCACAAGAATAGGAGGTAGCCTTCCAAATGTAAGATGACTCCTTGCACTGTCCTCCCCACAAGTGCTGCAGGTGTTGTATGATACAGTACGGAACAGCTCCAGGCACTCCTGTACATCCATGAATCATTAGTAAAGATATAAACCAGTAAAAGAAAATTATGACAGGGTAAAGAAAAAACACAACATAAACAAACCTGCAATGTGCATGTCGTCTTGCCCTCTGGAAGAGCCAGTGACAAGAACATTTCCGGAGCATCACATATTCCACTTTCAGTACCACAGGCTGAACAAATGCTGAGACGGACTGTTTGTAAACCAAACATATAAGTCATCTTGGACATTTCGGATGACATCCAAATATCAAGCACGCTTACATCCACATCATCAGGATCAATTCTTCTCTTGTCACCAGTGAAATGTTTTTCCTGTGGCAAAGTAAAAATTTAATCATACAATTCTGAGCTGCTACACTCTTTGTCGCAGAACAAGACAAAACTTACAAGTATTTCGCCATGAACCCTACTGATGAGGAATGTAAAAAACTCCATCAGGTCTTGTTGTGTTTTAGGCTTGAACCTCAGCCAGTTGCTCTGGAGACATTCCTGGAAATTTACACAAGACTAGTTACGAATAATTTCAAAAACACACAGGTTTGAAGGAGAACTGTGTCAGTCACGAACTTACAAGAAAAACATCGTATGAGTATGATGAAGATGAATGCTGCAGCTCTTCCAAAAATATTCTGAGGGCACATGTCAATGGATGGGTTACACTAGCATACTCGTCCAAGTGCACCAGCTGTAGTCCTCCAAGAACGATAGGGAATGACAACGAACATTGCATTATGCCATTGACGTAGCAGGTGTTCCCCATATTCTTCAGTCCACACAATCCACTTCCCAAAACTCGCTTGGCCTTTACAATGTTAAACAGAAAAAAATTATAAAATGTATAGGAAATCTTTACAAAAAAAAACAACAAACTGTGAAGCCATAAACACTTACTGGGCTGGTGTACATGTTTCATCATACAAAAACAGCACAAGTTCTTCACAAATTTATGAAAATATCTGAAAAATAAAAGTACTTTAATGTACAAGTGGTCTGAAACACGATAGTTATGTCAGAATTTTAGGAAAATACGCCGAGGAAGGCAGTTGTCAAAATAAACAGTGACCATCCATAGCCTCAACATAGCCTAACACCCATATTTCAGTCCTTTCACATGGAATAAATATTTCCATTCACGTTATATGGCGATAGTAACACCAGAATCGGATTCCTGGGGTGCTCACCTTTAAAATGATGTATAACACATTAAGTTTTCGTTCAGATTTACACGAGATACGCGCGATTCGGTGCCGGGGTGCGGACAGACCGAGCAGACGGCGAGCAAACAGTTGAAGGTTTGTGATGGTCCGGAAGCAGACTACAGACGGAGGCCATCTTGGATTCTTCTTGTTCCTCTAATTCGGAAAATAGCTCATTACTAAGTAGCAGTACTCAAAATCACAATACTTAGGTACATTATTAAAGTTACCTCACTAGTAAAAAATATATATAAAAGTAATATCCAGTGAGCTTAAAATCAGAAACGATGGCCAGTATATTAAGGAATGTTACGTTTCCTTACCTATGCAAGCTAAGAACTCGAAGCAACAGTCTTGATATCACATCAGAAATACAAGGATAATTACTAAGTAGCAGTACTCAAAATCACAATACTTAGGTACATTATCGAAGTTAGAACACCTTACTAGTAAAAAATATACATAAAAGTAATACCCAGTGAGCTTAAAATCAGAAACGTTGGCCAGAATATTAAAGGAATGTTACATTTCCTTGCTGCTCCCACAATGCCTGATGCTTCCCCTCACGTCACCTTTTTATGTTGCTTCTTTTTCATGTAAGATCATTTTTTGTTATTGAAAATTGTTTGGGTATCACCCCAAAAAAACGTTTTCTAAGCAGAAGGGTGGGTTGTAGTCGCGGTGCTTCACCGTTGCATCCCTTTCTCGTGTCTACGGGGCAATTTTTAAGGACGGACGGGCTTTGCGGGCCGAAGGTCCGTAACATCATTTGTTGCCTGAGCGTTAGCGAAGCCTTTGCTGTCATGAGGTGCAGGGAACTCTTCGGTGGACCTTAAGATACCCTGAAAATTTCAAGTCTCTAGCACATCTCCTTCTAGTGGAACAGACAGACAGACAGACAGACACACAGACAGACACACAGACACACACGAGGTCGTTTGCATAAGCCCGCTGGATAGCTTTTTCAAAGCAGAAGGGCGGGCTAGATACCAAAAGTCGAAAAATGTTTTTTTTTTTTTTTTCAAATATTTTTTGAAGTGTTTCTAAGGGGTAACTCGTGAAACTAGATCCCTGTGACCGAAATTTTTGTCCGTTTTCCTCTATCTTGTACCGTTTGGGTGCTGGGAGGCATTTCAGGCATTTCTTGATGAAAATGAGGTGAAAATGACCAAATGGTCCATAAAACCGTAAAAAAGCACTTACATCGAAAACTTGTATATGCACTCTTATTAACTCGTCTCGGGTGTCAGCGCCGCAGGCCTAGCTATGTGTGCGGCAGGCGCGTCGCAGCGTAACAGTGTTTCGTGAGATATTGCGAAACCTGTTACGCGAGACGTGATCTAGCGTACATATAGCTAGTTTACCTGCTGATTTGGCGTGGACAGCGCCATCAATTGCAACAGCATAGTAGGCTTACATACTCCAAATACAGTTAAAAGGCAATATTTTCTAATAAAACTTCAGAGTGTCATGTCTAAAACTGTCGGTAAACATAATACTGGATCGGGCATCGCGTGAGCTCGAAGTGCCACTATCGCTTTGCTTTTCTCTACTGCTTTCCTGTGACCAGCCACTATTTACTCCACGCAGTAAACGTCACAGTGATACCCACGTCAGCGTTGACGTACAGGTTTTCGGTCCGGCACTGCCGTTTTACCGGAGAGGACTCCCCACCAGGTGCGGGTGTAATCAGCTGTAAACAAGGCTGACCGTACCACAAATGATTGTATGGAAACCGCTTAAGAATAAAATTCTGCCACCCAGCTGTCGCACCTAAAGAGCCAGATGTTTAATCTAAGAAGAGCGAGGTTTCACTCGTTGCTCTATATATAAGCGCTTTACTTAAGAAAACCCCTCTCTTATTGAGGAAGATTCGAAAAATATCGCTCAAATATGGTGAGATATTGAAGCATTGTAATACCAAGCTTACAAGCAATTTGCACTGCAAGTAGGTGTCAATAAGTTTTTTGTGTTTGTTTGTTTTTTTTCGCTGTTTGTGTTTGCACGCCAGCTTGCCACTGTCGGCTCCGGACGCGCTTTGCAGCAGCACACAATCTCATAGAAGTGGCCGTGGGCTGCACCACGGCAACCAACTGACATGAACCTGTTATAGTGCCGCTTGACGCCTGGTATTTAGGTGATCCAGCATGTTATTCCTACTCGTCCTCCTAGTACTCATCTGCCAGAAAGGCATCTACGGCAAAGTTATGAATTCTTTGATTGTAAGTTAAATATAAATACTACATTTTTTCAATTACTTCTTCAAATTCAGACTCTTTTTTAGCCCGCCCTTCTGCTTTAGGAAAGCTGTCTAGCGGGCTTTTGCAAACGACCTCGTGTGTGTCTGTCTGTGTGTCTGTCTGTTCCACTAGAAGAAGATGTGCTAGAGACTTCAAATTTTCAGGGTATCTTAAGGTTCACTCCTAGAAAATGAAACGCCTACGGCAAATCCTGGCAAACAAACCAAAGGGGCTAAAAGCGGGTATCAAAGAACAGAGGGTAGGTCAAAGAAGTTAGAAAAAATATTTTTTTTATGATCTCCGAAGGGGTAGCTCGGGAAAGTATAACCCCCTGGACTTAAATTTTGTCCGTTTGGCTCTATCTCTCACCTCTCGGGCGCTGGAGGGTCTTCTTTTGACGAAAATAAGCTAAAATTCGGTGTAGTGAACATTTAGTTGTAGAGGAAGGCCTCGAATTGCATAGTGGACCCCCCCCCCCCTTAAAAAAGAAGTTTTTCTAAGCAGAAGGGTGGGTTGTAGTCACGGTTCGTCACCGTTAAGGAGCAAAATTTAATGACGACGGGTTTTAGCGGGCTGAACGCCCGCTATATTATTTGATTATGTTTTTCAGCAAATTTAGCATAAACGGTCGGGCCGCAGGCCCGAGCGTCGCCGCCGGTGTGAGGTGGTGAAGGTACCCCCGTGATGCTTGTACCGGAGGTACAATCACCACGTGATAGTCCTACCCCCCCAGTAAATGCCAACAACACGCGTGGGGGTATATCTACCACGCACACTGGGGCGAAAACGGAAATTTAGGGTCATAAAGGCGATTTCTTCAGAATGAGTTTAGAGTTCAGCCAACTGTGCCATTTTGTTCAGAAAGGACCAAAGCTCACTCTCCTGTACTTGTTAGCCACATTTAGCGCCGCTTTCTATGCAGAAACAGGCCTCAAAGTCAGTGAAATTCGTGTACTTTTGCTCAAATTGTGTCAGGGGTCCAAATAATCTAAAATTAACGCTAATTTCGAAAAGATAATGTATTTGAACCACATATCGTTGGAAAGAGGAAGGTCCGAGAAATCTAAAGACCATCTCGTTTTTGGTCTAACTATCTTCATTTAATATTTAAATCCTGTTAAATTTCGATAAAAATTGGCGTTTTTGCTGTTTTTGACTTGAGATATCTTAAGTTGCGAACACTTGCGAACACTTCTGCGACCGTCAGAGGCTAGTAGAAGTGACCTCCTTTCAGGGCTATATGGGCACGGGTAGCGAAATGTAGCGGTTCTCTCTCAAAATGGCGGTAAAATTGACCAAAATCTCATTTTCTCACAAGTTTTTGAGACGGAGACGGTCTTAATTTAATCAGAGAACACACAAAATTGGTTATACGGGGGTTTTCAGATGTTCCGAATCTATTTCCGGTGTCCGTTTGCACCTCCAGGGTCATCCTGGTGTCGTCGTCGGGGACCTCGTGGGGTCGCCGATGACGTCCCCCCCAAAAATTGGTACCTAGGGGTTTTCGGTCGCGCTGAAGCCATTTCCGGTGTCTGTTTGCACCTCCAGGGTCATCCTAGGGCCATCGTCGGAGACCTCTTGGGGTCACCGAGGACCCCATGGGCTCGCCGACGACGTCATGGGGTCGCCGAAGAGTTTTTTTTCTGAAAATTACTGGAGGTGCAAACAGACACCGGAAATGGCTTCAGCGCGACCGAAAACCCCCTGGTACCAATTATCTTGGGGAACGTCATCGGCGACCTCGTGAGGTCCCCGACGACGACCCCAGGATGACCCTGGAGGTGCAAACAGACACCGGAAATGGCTTCAGCGCAACTGATAACCCCCTGGTACTAATTTCCTTGGCGGACGTCATCGGCGACCTCGTGAGGTCCCCGACGACGACCCAGGATGACCCTGGAGGTGCAAACGGACATCGGAAATGGCTTTAGGAGACGCCAAAACCCCCGGATACCAACTTTGACACCATTCTGAGTACTCTAGACTTTTGACCCTAAAATTCCGTTTTCGCCCCAGTGTGCCACGTGACGGTTTTACCTACCATCGAGAGGGGTAAAACCATCACGTGATTGTTGTACCCCCCATCGAGGGGGGTACAACTATCACGTGATAGTCATACTTCCTATAGGGGGTATAGGGAGCACGTGATGGTTGTAACCCCCTTAAAGAGGGGGTATAACTATCACGTGGTGGATACACCCCCGATAGAATCAGCATTCAGAGGGGGGTATGACTACCATTCGATGGTTATACCCACCTGTATTGTACCTTAATAGACCTTCTGAGCCGCTCGGCGCGCAACGTCGCAGACTGACTGAATACAATTCGAGATAGCTCTTAAAATCGGACGCAATTCAAGAAACGAAAAACACTTGCAGCTAGATTTTGTTTCGCTGAATCCGAAAATGTAGTCACTTTTGTCATTCAACGATGTATTTTCGCGTATATTCGATTATAAGTGACTATGCCTGGCCCGCAAGCCGTTGCGCCGGGGTTAGTCACTTATAATCGAATATACGCCGAAATACATCGTTGAATGACAAAAGTGATTACATTTTCGGATTCAGCGAAACAAAATCTAGCTGCAAGTGTTTTTCGTTTTTTGAGTTGCGTCCGATTTTAAGAGAAATCTGGGCGTTGCCTGCTCATCCGCTCCAAGCTGCTCAGAAGGTCTATAGTACTTCAAATAGTACCCCTGCACTGGGCCATACTGCGTATACTGACACGACTACGAATAGTGAGTCATCTTAAAAGTCGTCTTGAGGGGGTACAAACGTCACGTGGTGGTGTTCCCCCTCACACTCATGCATGGCGAGGGGGTACATCCTTCACGTGGTGGTTGCACCTCCTTTCAGAAACGTGTTGCGAAGGGGGTACATCCATCACGTGGTGGTGTTACCCCCTTACACTCGTGCATGGCGATGGGGTACATCCTTCACGTGGTGGTTGTACCTTCTTTCAGAG